AATATATGGGAATATATAAATATTAGAAAAATAGAAAATAAATAAATATAATTATATACATAATGGGCTAGGTCAGGAAAATCTCATCGCAGCTATATCAGTATAAAAATAAGTAAAAATACAAATTTCAGATAAACTTTAAATGAACTTCATCATATTGGACATTTGAAAATCTCTGTTTTACACATATTAACAGAAATAATTACCATTTCTGACAAATCACATAAAATATCTAAAACCTAGGATATTACAATCTCAAACCTAGTACTCTAAACAATAGTATGTTAATCCAAGATACATCCTGACGCAGTAACATTACGTTCACAAAATAAGCTATTTTATTTTCAGTCTCGATAATAGCGAAATCCATTAACTACGATAATTTCATTTCGATAATTGTTCATCGAGAAGCCAGTTGTCCAATCTTCTGATCGTTTAATCACATTCGATGTGTAAGATAACAGTACCTAACGTGATTTCCTCTGCAAATACTTAAAACGAAAAATGAAATCGAAATATTGTAGCCTGGAACGCATTAATCGTACGATTTTGGAAAATCTGTGTTAAAAAATACAAAAATAATTTTAAAAAATAATTCCTTTTTTAAAAAATAATTCTAAGTGAACGTGGAAATTCTCGATGATACAAAGATCTTGATTTTTAAAATCAGAGAACGGATAACCTGGTGCATCGTGATAACGAAACCATTCAATTGTAATTAAAATCAACGACAAGTAACTTTTGAAGTGAAGATACCACCTTTGTATTACGTGATTGAGATTTGATGACAATTATTAAACAGCGATTTGTGATTAAAATTTGTATCGTAACGAAATTATGCACACCGATCACAACTGCATAAACATGTTTCTATAGCTCTGAAAAAGAAAATTAACCATATATTCATATAATCCCTCTGTAGATATTTACTAAGCAAATTTTGTAACAAGTATGCAATAAAGATAAAATGCATCAAATATTAAGGTCAAAAGTAAAAATGACGTTTCTTGTGTCAAAGAATTAAAAATTCCAATTAAAATTAAGAAATTAAGTTTTCATAAATAATTAAAATTAAAAATTAAATTGTCATTAATAATTAAAATCGAAGATTAAATTATCATTAATGATTAAAATAGAAAACTTTAGTTTTGAAGAATTTCCTTTTTCCAATTGTTTAAAGCAAAACTTAATACTGTATTTTTCTGTTTTTCTAGATAACAAACTGGTAAATAAATCTAGTAGGTAAATAAATTTGTCAAATATTAAAACCTATTTTCCCAAAATAAATTTCTCGCATAACAAAGAACATCTTCGAGGAATAAATTTTCCAAACATTAAAATCCACTTTCGACGAATAAATTCCCCCAACGTAAAAGCCCACTTTCGACAGGAAAATCTCTAAAAAATGACAGTCTATTCTTAACGAATGGATTTCCCAATAAATTACCAAAGATAACCTCACTGCCATTATGAGGCAAATCCTGATGCTGAATATCATACTTCCTTTAAAACTGAGAAACACGCTATTTTTCAAGCACTCGTGGTTCGTGAGTGAGTGTGAATCAGTGATCATCCATAAGCCGAATATCAGTCACTTATCAACAGTATAGTTCTCAAGTGGACGACCATTGTTTCCGCTAAGCCTATAAAAGAGACGGTGAAACGCGAAACCCAAGAAGTCTATCTGTATTGTGTATACAGTGAGCTACTTCACAGGAACGATGGTTCCCTACTCACCTTTGGCGCTAAGTGCGTATCGGACTATACTTATAAGGGACTCGGAAGATGAGGCGATAATGAGAGACATCTTTCTTGCAGTTTATCCAACGCTGCTCACGGTGTTGTCGCAGAGCAATTACACGATTTTCCCAAACGACGAAGGAGTGCCATACCTGGTCAAGCTCGACGATAACCCAATGTCTCTAAAGCAGATCACCGAACTGGCTGACAATGTTGACAAGACCACATTCACCCTTTACACACAGTCAGAATTATTTTTTTCTTTATCAATCTCTTCTTCCTGCGAAAAGCTTCTCTTCTCTGTGTATTTGCTTGGACTCGTTGCAACTGATTGACATTTTAATCGCGAAGCATGGATATTTTTAAACGAAATGTAAAAACATTCGTGAAGATTGCGTAGTTTCCATATCAGTTTTGGTTAATTAACTGAGGTACGTCATGGAATACTTGATCATAGTCTAGATGAAATGTCAGGTTATATTTTTTGAAACTTTAGGAGGACACAAAAACAATGATATTTGTGTTCAAATCTTACCACGTGTGGAATTCTTAGTCTTCTTTTAAATGCTTGCTTGGTGTTTAATAGAACTTAATAGAACTTGATGCTCTGAGCACAGCTTGATTATTAATTATGGTAATATCATTCAAGGAAGAAATGGAATTATATATTTAAAATTCGAAACCTATCCAGTTTACATTTAACCTACGATAAGAAAGACCGCCATAATTTTCCCTCGTGAGATTGCCATCTATGATCAGGTTACGAAACTATGTATGAAATGTCAGTTATTTGTTGAAATTTTTCCTAATAAGAGTTTTTAGTCAGAAAGTTTCGTTTCACTGATACCAATACTATCAAATTCTTCTTCACTCTATTCATAGAAAAGTACATAACGCTATTCAAACTAACCATACAGTGATAGCATTTTTAGGTTAGCTCACTTTTTTCAATCGAATCCCATGTTTAATCATTTTTCCCATCTAGATTTCTTTGGTAATGTGACTAAACAATATATCTTCAATCCAGGAACAACCGTTACAATGGACGTAACCTGATATTAAATGATGTGAATTCCATTAAACAGAGTAACTGGGACTCAAGGAGACAAACGATTATTGTCACTCACGGCTGGAACAGCGCTGGTACTAAGCAAGTTTGCACGCTTATACGCGATGGTAAATATACTTCACGGACGTAATATATAAAGTGACCAACTTCTCAATAATTATGCAATTTTTTGTCCACAGCATACCTCAAAATCTCAAACAGCAACGTCATTATTGTCGACTGGAGTACGATAGCGAACAACATAATCTATTCTCAAGTTGCAAAGAGTGTGCCAACCGTGGCTAACCACGTAGCCGCTTTTGTGAATTTCTTGCGTGCACATGCCGGTTTACAAACGTCCAAACTGAAGATAATCGGACACTCTCTTGGTGCCCATATCGCAGGTTTGAGTGCACGAGAAGTGTCGAAATCTAGCCGGGTACCGGAAGTTATTGGTGAGTAACAACTTGTAAAAATTCAAGTTTCTAAACAAATTGAAAAGGGTAGATATTGACGCTAAATTGAAAGCAATACAATAAGTTGACCAAATTCCTGAATATTTGCAACAATAGCTCTTGATCCTGCCAAACCATTGTTCGATAGCAAAAATCCTGGTGAAAGAGTTGATAAGACAGATGCAAACAATGTTCAGGTTATTCACACATGCGCTGGATTACTGGGTCTAGATAAAGATGTTGGCACTTCTGATTTCTATGCTAATGGAGGAAGAAATCAACCAGGATGCAGCAATGACTTATTGGGTAAGAAATGTCAAAATCCTTGTCCTTACAAATTTCAGTTTAAAACGTATCATTAAAGCTAAAAATAATACTGAACAGGGTCTTGTGCACATGGACGCAGTTATGAATATTATAGTGAATCTATTACAAATGCTCAAGGTTTTGTTGGTATATCTGAGAATGGTAATTCAAAGGCATATATGGGTGGTCCTATTCTTGATTCAAAGTAAGCTTCACTTTACGTTATTGTTATTAAACATATTTTTGCTTTGTATACATTTTGTTTAATGTATCTTTTTCAATGTAATTTTAATTTGATTATTTGAGATTAATATGTATTAATTCTCTGTACAGTGCTAGAGGAGCCTACAACTTTAGAACTACAAGTCAGCCACCTTACGCGATTGCTGGATAAAAATTTTACACGTAATTTGCATATATATTATAGATAGCGTGCACGTCAAAATAAATAATTTTTTATTCTCTTTATCGTTTGTATTTGTATATAAGAATCATTTCGACTTACCGCGACCATATCCTCTATCGCTTGAGTTGATTTCGATCCCAGCATGACCATACCCATGGCAATGCCCGCTGCTTCACCGGTAACTGCATCATCTTGGTAAAGATTGAATTTCAACTGTTCGTATACATCTTGTCTATGCGAACCCATAGCGGCTAAACCCAAACCTAAGCAACCTCCATGACGAACCATCTAGAAAGAAAACAAACATTCTAGACTCTGGAAGCATGTTATCGTGTGCTTTCAAGATTAAATAAAAAAATAACGATATAATTATATATAGTCACAGTAAAAATACAAAATTAATGTATCGCAATAAATTAACGTGTATAAGTTGCTTCATATTTGGACTATTTAATATGCAGTAAAAAGACCAGAAGTATTTTAATAAACAAATTAGCATAATATGACACAAAAAGATACTTGATCTCCTTATCTTCTTTTAATCTCTTAAATCATTGTTTAGTCTGCTTTCACAACTATACTACATTCTTGTAAACAATTGTACCTCATTCTGTGCATCCTTTAGTTGGCCAAGTAAGTAATCAGTGATTGCTGCACCGTGATTTGCGTGAATGAGTCCTAATGCATACAAACCACCTCCCTCAGAATAACCAGCTCCCGCGCCAGTATCCCGAGGAAGATAAGACTGCATTAGAGCTAAAGCCTCTTGTTCATGACCTCTGTGAATTACTCCTAAAGACGCTGTTGCTGTTAATTTTGCCCAGTTTGTGGCTCTAGCCAACCATTCTAAGTTGTCCCTAAAATATCAGAAAAACAAAATTGAAATAAAAGATAAACATACTCCTTATGAATATCGTATAAAGTTCAATTGAATGATATGTTATGAAAACGTATATTTACCTCAAAAATTGATCGCTAGTAGTTCCAGAATGCATATACGCATTCGCAATTACAGTGGCAGTATGACAAATAGACACACGTATAGTATCTTTAGTATTTTTCAATATCAACATATCGGTATGGTTACTACGAATTAAAAATTGCAGGTGCAAATCGATCGAAATTTCCCCACTTAATATACTTGATAAAGCATCTACACGTTCTTGTTGCTCGCGTTCTTCAGCATTCTAAATAAATGCAATGATTGAATTAATAAACTTACTATAATATATTATATAATATTTCTCCAAATCATAAAACTTACCAAACTTTCAACACTACGTTGAGCTTTCTCATCAGGAGCTGGTGTACTGCTTTCAGTTTCCATTGCGGTAGAAGATTCAGAACTAGCTTCAGCAGTTGCTTTTACAACTGGTTTAACAATTGGTTTAACCATAAGAGCTCCTGGAATGGGTGCGGTTGCTCTTAGAGCTTGTAAAACACGACCAAGGAACTGTTGAGTTGCTGATTCGTATAAATCAAATGCAATTTGATAGGCCATAAGAACACAATCTTGTGAGCCTTTGCTCAATTTGTCTAAAAGTTCAGCAACAGCTAGTGGATCATCAAGAAATATCAAACACTGACACATATTGACATAATCTGGTGTTCCTAGGTTGCGATAAAGGCTCACTAAACAACGAAGTACAGTGTTACGAAAACCACGATTCTGGATGAGGCTCATGACAACTTGGAAGGCATAGGATAACATGCCACTAACATCATCCTATAATAAAAATGTTTGCAGGTATAAGAACAAATTTTTAATAGTACTTATATTACTTGCATGTACTTATGATTAACTTACTGATTGCATAATTGCAGTTTTAAAGATGTCCATTCTTCTTGTTTCAAGAGCAAGACCTAAAGCTTGCCGATACTGATTATCATCTAAACATCTTTGAAACATTCTGTTCACAATTCCTTCCAATCTTGGATCAATTCTTTTGCTATTTGGTGGTAATTTTCCTTCAGCTTCCAACACACGTTGTTGAGTATAATAATCAATACACTTAGCTGAAATAATGTAAATAATACAAAAATAAAGACTCTATATTTAATGAAACTTATTAAGAGTAGATAAAAAAATCATTGCTAGTACCTATAGTAGTATCAACATATTCATTGCGAGCATTAACATCAAAAAGTTCTCCAGCTCCAAGAGCATAAGTTAAAGAATCTTCAAAACTTCCTAAATGATAGTATACTTTACTAGCAACTAATGCAGCTAAATCATGCTGAGGGAATGATTTATCTTCATGAAGAATTTCACTGAAATATATGGAACCTATTGTCAAAATATAAACTAAAACTAACTACATCAAAATAAATCATGGTATATACAATACATACATTTTTTCTATGGCCTCAGAAATTTCAGGCCAAAATTCATCTACTATCATATCCAATTTTTTTAAAGCAAATACTTTTAATTCGGGCATTGGTTCCTCAAGGAGGGAAATGATGCCAGCTGAAAATAGAATAATAAAAATTAATTAATTAGCTAAATTTTTAAACGTAAAAATCCTAAAGTAACTTCTAACATGTTTTAATATCAAATAAACCATTGTATTTAATACTTCGAACACAAACTTACAGGTTATGGCCCACGCGATTTGCAAATCATTGCAAGTGTGGTAATCAAAGGTAGTGTAAAAATTTACTAATAAATTTTTAAAGAATAAAATTTACATATAATATGATGTTACATTCAAAATAAATAATTTACCTGCTGACGTGATATTCATGTTGATTTTCATACAATATATATTCCTTCGACAAAATCTGCAAAAGACAGTTCGATGGTAAGCCACGAACTCATCAACCAAATTCAATTGAAATATGCTACACGCTACTCTAAGGGCTACCACACTAACAACAAGTAAATGCTAAATCACGCAATACAAATCTTTTTATCTTTTCCCGTTTCTCAAGATAATTGCATTTAATTTAAACGAAAGAAATAATTCGGTAACGGAGAAATTATTATTAATTAAAGAATTTGTAAATAATCAACTTCTAATCTTACAAAGTTTAATTTTTATCAATGGCATTACTGTAATAGCTTTGGCGTATACTTCATGACTTTATGTGGGATTTTGTTTTACAATGTTAACCTAAAATACTTTTAGTTTTCATTTCGAATTATTGTACAAAGTGCAATTATAACAGTAGTGTTTTTGAAAATGACAGAGAAAACAAAAACTATGAGTCACGTCAAACATATTCCGAAAGATGCTCAAGTTATTATGTCAATTATGAAAGACATGGGAATAACAGATTACGAACCAAAGGTTATAAACCAGTTGCTTGAATTTACGTATCGTACGTATCGTATATTTATAATTCATTTAAAATAACATACATGAAATAAAAAGTATAACTAAATATATATATATCACTTTTTACTTTATCATCTTATGTATTAACATAATGTATAAAGTAATCGATTTACAATTTACAGGTTATGTTACTTGTATATTAGACGATAGTAGAATTTATGCAAATCATGCCAAAAAGAAGTTCATCGATTTAGATGATGTTAGATTAGCTGTTAAGATGCAATTAGAACGTACTTTTACAAACCCACCACCAAGAGACGTGTTATTAGATGTTGCTCGGGCAAAAAACAATATACCACTTCCATTTGTGAAACCAAGCAATGGTCTGAGGTTACCTCCTGACAGATATTGCTTAAATGCAACAAATTATAAACTCAAAAATGCAACAAAGAAAATAGTTGGGAAACCATTACATTCTTTAGTTGGAAATAATATTCCAGGTGGTCAATCTAAGATCAAAGTAGAAAGCAATAAATCTGGCCTTTCTATTGTTAAAAGACCTGGAACACTTGCAACAGTTGCTAGAACTCAAACTATTTCAATGCCAAAACCTGTTTTGAAATTTTCATCAGGTAAATAATGTATAAATGTCAAAAAATGTGTAAAGCGGATTAATTCTTTATATATATTACTCCATAGATCCTTTCCAAGCTCTGCATTCCAAAACATCTATCCCCTCTATCCATATTTCATTAAGAACCCAACTATGTAAGACAAAATTACTTGTTTGATAATAATAAAATTTATTATCATAATTCTTAATGTTTGTTCGTATTAATTTATTGAAATTTATAGCCACAACAGGAGCAGCTACTGTAAAGGCACAAGTAGCTAAACCAAAAATTCAAATTTCCTCAGGACAAACAATGCCTCCTGTCAAAGTAGAAGTTGAGGATTCTATTAAAAGAAAAAGGGAAGATGATGATTATGACGTACCATAACAGTAACAAATAAACAATGGATAAACTTTTATTTTACATTTTATGATTTTATTGTATAAAACAGAGTATATACATACAACATAATTTTATTATTTTGTATTAACAAAAACATCTTAGAATTTTAGTTTTTTGTTATGCAATTAGTAATTATACTTTCAATGAAATTGTATATTTTTTACTTAAAAGGACAATGTGTAAAGTACAAATAATGAATTCGATAAATTATCTATACCTATATTTGTGTTTATTTATTTTATATTATTGTATTTTGTGTACATTTCTTTTACAAATTCTTTATACTTAAAAGAATATTGAAATATTTTTCTTTTGATATTGTGAAATCCTTTTTATTGGATACTATAAAGTAATAAACAAAAACATTAGATTGTTACTTTAAATAAATTAACAAAATTTGTTAAATTTTTATTTATTTACAATATAATTTATTTTGACACTATTTTAACCCACATAAAAATAGACATTTTATTCATCATATTTACACCAAAACAGTAATCTATACTATTGAACTACATACTCTTCATCTTCGTCACCTTGAGTTTGTTCCGCGTCAGTTTCTTCTTCCGTGGCATATCCAGGGGTTGTTATAGGAAGAGCATGTTCTTCAGGTTCGTCGCCTTCATCTTCAGCATCATACTCACCTATCTCTGCAAGTTCTTCATCTTCTTCTTCTTCTTCTTCTTCATCTGCTTCTTCTTCATCTTCATCTTCTTCTTCTTGTTCCTCTTCATCCTCATCTCTTATTTCAACTTTCTTTTGCAGATCTTCCACGGGAATAGCTTCCTCTTCTATTAGTTCGTCTTCGCCTAGTTCCTCCGCCTTTTCTTCTGCCTCTTCTGCCACATCACCTGCTTCAAACGGTGGTGGTTTCTCAATTTCAATTTCTTCTATTTCTCTTTCCTTCTTCTCTTCTTTCTTCACATCCTTTTCTCGAACACACTTCTTTCGATGGATTGGCAGGAAGAGTTTAAAATCTTCCGGTAATTCGTCTTCTGCATAAAGCCTATTAGTAAAACACATCATAGAAATAATTACTAGATGTTTCTGGGGAAATAACTAAATAATGGATTTCACATAATACAATATTAAAATATATCAAAATGATTTAATTATATTAATTAGTACCTGTTAAAACTAAAAATCGAACTATATTTAATAATAGATTTCATCAAGTTTACCGAAGGTACAGTATTTATCGAAGATTTTTTGACAAAAAAGTTCATTCGTATAAAACAAAATTCTAATTGTCTTAAATACGTGTGGATTTCATATATTTATTAGTTAATATATTTTCTATCTTAATAGATTTTCTATCTCTATCAAAGATATTTTATATCTTGTAATAAATAATAATAGGTTTAATCTCTTATTTTGCTCTAAGCAAATATTCTAATTTTATTCAAAACGACAATTAAACAGTATAAAAGCTTGTTCCCAATACATATAAATATTGATTATAACAATAATCGAAAATTAAAAATGTCACTAATACTGAAAACAATAATTAATGTTAACCTAAGTAAAAATTAGAATATACGAAGTAACGTTGTACCTGTCAGCAAAATAAATACGTCGTATCCTACAGTTTGCGTGGATCTGTATGCGCGTGGTCTCGATATAATTCGTGCCGTACGCTCTTCGCGTGAAGTCCGCTAAATTAAATTGAATCTGATTCCAACCACCAGAGAGTCCGATCGGCATGGACGTGCAGAATGGTCTAACTCGAGTGGTACTTTGAAAATTGCTCATTCTGAATCTCCTGTGCATATCCTTATCGTCGAGTATCTGTATAATCAAAAACAATATATATACTTGAAAACTCCTCCAAAATATTTTCTCAAGACATTATCATCAATTTCAAAAACAAATATAAGAAAAAATTAATATCAAATATTTACAATTTCGAAAGAAAATTTACTGTTATCTCGAACGTGAAGTATTTCTTCATATTCTTGATAATCATGATCAAGAAAGGAAGCTTAATGCCGAGAGCTTTTTTGGGACCACGTGGACAAAATATATATGTTGTTGTGACATTGGTTCCAGCTATCTCCAAAGCTAGAGACTTCACTTCGTCGTCGGTTACTCTTCGAATGTATCCATTCTTCACCTATTCAAAACGACGTCCCCCATATATCTACATTATCACTACACTATATTCGAAACATTAAGAGGTAAGGTATGTCGGTAAAACAGAACTGTGATTTTCGATACGAATATAGACAGCGTTGCAGATACATATGAAAGATGACAGGTAAAAGGCTAAGAATTTTATAACAAAATAAGCCATTTCGAAAAATTGTTTATCCAAAGGAGTTTAATAATGGTAATATTAAAGAAATAAATAAACATGTTAAATTTTAACTAGACAATACGCATTAATTTCACTAACTGATTTGAACAAAATATTTTTACCATTTATTTTCTCTATATAGTGCAACTTACGTGCATTCCCCATAACTCCAGTGGAGAGGATCCACAGCTGTACAAAATGGACAAAAGTCCGTGTTGGTACTTGTTACGAAACATAATACTTTCGCAATAAAATGAAATAGAAAAATGATCAAAAAAGGATTACAGCGTGTTCATTTTATTCTTATATCCAGGAAAAGTCACATTCAACCGATCGACACAAGCGTGGGAATTTTTTTGTTTCGAATCGAGTTTGTTTTCCCCTGCTGGCGCCGCGAGATCTGCTACCGTTTCAACGGAGAAGTAAAATAGACTCGTCCACTTCTACTCAACGTACAAACGCAGCTTTATTCTATACCACGTGTCGATACAATCGGTCACAGTGTAAAGTCGTAAAACACAATGAAATATCGTTCGTTACTTGTCACGGAGGAGCTCGTTGATGTGTCGTCTCTCGTTCACGGTTAACAAATCGGGGACAATCAATGTCTTAGGAGGCATTCCAACGCTGAATACTCGGTCGATCCTTACGCTATCGATGGCGAACATCTGCATCATCGCGAAGTGCATGATGTCGCGGTTCAGTTGGCGCCTGATCTGCCTCTTTGTCTTCTGCACACGTCGCCGGCACACCACGTAACTTTTAACAGATTAAACTCATTTTACGTCACATTTCGAATTTTTTCTCGTCGAATCTACGAATTTCGGAGAAAAAATTATTTTTCGTTTGAAGTACCGTGTTATGTGAAGTGTCTAAATATATAATACAAGTGACACTTTAATTTGGAGTATTGCATAATACTGTATAGAGTTGGAAGAAAAAAGATTTCCTATGTATAATAATAATAATTCAATTGATATTGTGGAAATAGGTTTATATAATTATTATATAGTAATTAATATTAAATTTATTAAAAACAACTGCATGTTTTTGGCAACTACAAAAATAAAATATCCTTTTAAAATATAAAAGATATGAAAATTTATATATTATCAAGAATCAAAAGAAACTTAACCTTGATAATGTTGATATGAGAAAAATCTAAAAATTTATATAGAAATATTGTGTAAAAGAATTAACGAAATTTTTTTTCAAATGAAGCCCAATAATTTTTTAATCTGCAGAATAAAATATTGTACCAAACTAGAAAAAATTAAAAAAAAGAAATTAAAAATTTGTTATTTTTGTATAACAAGATTGAAATTAAGATCCAATTCGACGTGAAATAAAATTACTACAGTGTGTTAATTTGTCTTCATTAATGAAGTTGCTCTTACTAAGGTAGATTCTTAAGAGTGGTGTAACTTGGGTGAATGGAGACATCACTTCTGTACAACTCTGGATACAATTTCATGTGTTTCGTGAGGTATCTCCTGACACGTGGTTTGGCCTCAGTCTGTTCCTTGGTATCCACATGTTCCCCTTCCCTTTTAGTCTCTCTTGCTTCTCCATCCCTCTTATTCTCTGCATCCACCATTTCTCTCTCCTCTTCAACCTGACCAACCATCGTGTCATACAAACTGCAAACAAAGAAACACATCGTCCTCTTGCTAGTATCCATTTATCCATCAATAAACCCCAATCATTCTCACGCTTTATCTTAGCCCTTGGAGTACCTCATTAGCCTCCATAGTACCACGATACCATAGTACCCAAAAATATTTTGAAAAATATACAATTCCTATTGTACCCAATATTAAAATTAATTATGGTACCCAATATCAAAATTAACATATTTCTCTTAAAAATGAGCACATTTTCACGTCTCTTTTTTCATTTTATTATGTAATACCTGTAGTTTTGCACGAGAAAGGGAGAAAAGTTATTTTCCACGAATAAAAATTAATAATGAATAACGAAAAGACAAATTTTATCAATTATAAATAAAAAGACGATATATCGCCTTCAGGAGTTTTTTAAAAAATAGTTTATTAATAATTAATTAATAATAAAGGAACAAAAAGATAGGAAAATTGTTATTTCCTAATAATTATTATTTTTATTATACGGAATAATGCTATTATACTATTCAGAGCAGTATAGTCATTTAAAGTATTCGAACCTCAATCTCTTAACCATTTATCGTTAAATTGGTAGCATGGAGAGAAGATACAAAATGGAAGCTACTCACGAAGACTGAAACTAAATCTCGGCCCCCATTTAAGATAATCGAGATGAAAGGAAAGTGAAAAGATGCAAAATTATTGTTTCATGGATGAAGAATAATACTACTATACTATTCATACGATATAGTGTTCGAAGGTCTGAACCGATTTTCTGTGTCCAAGATTGGATCGGTGGATGAAGGTACAAAATGAAAGCTACTCACGGGGGATTAAGCTAGAATTTCGAGGCAAAGTGTTGATGATCGCGATAGTCGCTGAAGTCTGACTGGAGAATTTTTAGATGGTCGATTCGAGTCTGGCCTGTCTCTCCGTTGATCCGACGAAAGTTGGCCGATCTGTAACGAAGTGAGCCCCTGTGCCTCGTACGGATATCGATTTGGTTTCCAGGTGAATCAATAGAGATTCGGTTCATTCTTATTCCGATGCGTTTGCCTGTGTACACGTCGGACCATCGAACTTCATACACAGGTTCGCCATCCGCGTTAATTAGTTGGCTGTGAGAAGATTATGCGCCAATCTCTGGGATGGTCTTTGATAAGGAAGCATAGGAATGATCTATGATTAGTATTCTATAGCTTGTGTGACGGTTCGAATATATGTAAATTACTTTTTGATAAAAATGTACAAATTTATAAATTATGTACAATGTATTTAATTTTGGACGTGTTTAATCATTTGAGAATTATGGTGAGGGAGGCTAGACATTTTGTGTGCTTTTGTGTTCTTTCAGTTTCGATGGAAGCACATGTATGATTTGGTATTTTATAGTTTTCATATATGACTGTTTGGAAGTATATAAATTGTATTTTATATATGTTCAATTCTTTAGAGTACTATGATGAGGTAGGCTTGTGTGGCTTTGTGTTCTTTCAGTTTTGAAAGGAGCACAAGCATGATTTAGTATTTTATAGTTTTCGTGTACCATTGTTTGGAAATATATCAATTTTATAAATTTTAATTCTTTGAATTATTATGTTGAGGTTGACCAGATATTTTGAGTGATTTTGTGTTCTTTCATTTTTGAAAGGAAGCACTAGCATGATTTAGTATTTTAGAGTTTTAGTATACCATTGTTTGGAAATATATCAATTTTAAAATTTTAATTCTTTGGAGTATTATATTGAGGTTGGCCAGATATTTTGTGTGATTTTGTGTTCTTCACTTTTGAAGGGGGCACAAGCATAATTTGGTATTTTATAGTTTTCATATATAACTGTTTGGAAATATGTAAATTGTATTTTACATATTTTTAATTTTTTGGAGTATTATGTTGATGTTGCCTATATATTTTCTGTGGTTTTGTGTTCTTCTACTTTTGAAAGAAGCACAAACATAATTTAGTATTTTATATTTTTCATACGCGATTGTTTGGAAATATATAAATTGTATTTTACATATGTTTAATTCTTTGGAGTACTATATTAGGTTGCAGTAGACCCGTTGGGTTTTATAAAATTCCACTTTTGCAATATTAAACATACGATTTTATATGGTTTTTAATGAATTTATTATTGTGATGAAATATAAAATGAAGTATTAATATTAATGCTTAATTCAAATATATCAATATCTAAAATATTTTGGAATACTTATTTAATTAAAATGTTTTACATGAAATATTAAAATATATTAATATTATTACTTTTGAAAATTAATTTATTGACTGTAAATGTAAAGACGAAATGTAGACGTGACTTAATACACGTGTAATTTGATCTTTGAATTACAAAATTTGTAGATTAATTAATAATAAAATGATAAGCAAGTAAACAATTTTAATCATTGCAGGTAATGGGTAAATAATAATACAAATAAATATTGTACTATTAATTAGATATTTGATATTAATTGGAAAATTAACAGATTAATTAATATATTGATGCACGTAAAGATGAATTATTTAATTAAATACTCACCTGTATTTTAAATTTTAACCATTTCTTATTCATTATGCTTCTATCTTTCTCCAATGAATCATATAATTTGCTTCTCACGATAATTGCTGAATCTGCTATTCAGGAAGAATATACATGTAACAATACTGAAGTGAACTGCCTCCAATTATTTTGTACAATATCTGTCCCCCAGCAAGGCATTATATCAATAAGCAAACAATTAATCAAATTATCTTTACTACACATACTCCATGCTTTATACTGTGCATCAATTTTAAGACAGATAATACAGAGACGATAAGAACCTTATTTTACATTCAGTAAGAAGTTACTTATGCAGCGATTTAATATGGTTTCTGCATGCACATACAACCTATATTCGCGATTCAACTGACTTTGTAATATTTATTTATTCGTCATTAAATATAAACTAATTTCAATATCTTATCGAATATTCGACATAGTTAACAGGATTAACTCTCTCATCACTAACATTTTTCATATTTTCCAATTACATTTACTTAATTTCAGAATTTATGCTAATTTTTTAAAATTAAAATATGCGATTCAAATACAACCTGTTCTATAATCGCCAAGTGCAATGTAATGCATTTGGAGGATAACCATAATACCACATATGGTTGTGCAACTCAAAGTGTTTCAAATGACTAGCTTCCTACAGAGAGTCGATTGAAGTTTCTTATATAGCTTTAAAAGGAATAATTTTTTTATATAAAATGAACAGAATTATTTAACGAACACAACTATTTCTTTCTTTTTAATTTTTAAAACTAATCTTGTATCTTTTTATATTTTTTGATATAAAAAATATAATATTTCATATTTTATTATTTATTTTAGAAATTATCTTTAGTCTACGTAACTTGAAAATAGATTAATGAATTTTCTAGTTAATTATAATATTCTTATGCCTGGTATTTACTGTAATTTTATTGGAATTATTCTATGCGGTATATTTAATATAGGAGTTACTATAGTTAATATAACTTGAAAATAAATAGCTGAGTTTTATAGTGAAAATATTTTCTAATTAATTCTTATTTGATTAACAATTCATATCTAAAAAAATTTCCCAAATAATATTCTGGAAATAAGTTAGGAAATATATTCTTAAATATCCAAAGTATATTTTTAAATATTCCTTTTAATTCTCGTTACACATTTATAGTTCAAAACTCTTTTTAAATTCCTGAGGAGAAAAACAGAAAAAATAAATATAACAATAAATTCATAAATAAAATAATAACATAAATAAATAAATAAAGCATGGAACAAAATATAAAAACCAAATAAGAATAATAAATAACATTAAAAAGAAAATCGAAATTTATTAATACCTTAACTCAAAATCATTCTTTCAGTTCACAATATTGTTCCATAATTTCAATTCATATATATCCATAACCTCTCTTGAACCTAACCTTGCCACAAATAAGCAATCTCATCTCACACGAATTTTGCTTCAGTCCCGTTAAAAAATATAACCACTGCCAGTGCTAATTTTATGGACATTTATCCTGCTCCACGAGCGGTAATAATCCCGTCGTAAAAGTAGGGTTAACCTCGGGTGATATTTACGGCATCTTTTATTACCTTGGACGGAAAATCAAATTTTCGGAACAGCGCTACACCGACGGAGCCCCTAAAACAGGCAACCAACTTAATTAACGTGCATCGTGCACAGTCCATTGAAACCGAGGTAAGAGGTTCATCGCGTGCCATTGTTCCCCGCGAAATAGACGCGGAGCACGAAGGATACTCATGAAACGGCTATCGGGTCCTCGAGGAGGCCAACGGCATATCGCGCGCCCCCATCCGCCGCGGAAATCGAATCACAATTACCCAGACATGTCTCGGCCAACTTCGGTACCGCATCGATTAAACCGTGCACGTTCGTATCGGTCGAGCATAATCTCGCGACTCGATCGATAAGCATTAACCGCTCTACACTAGCCACGAATCTTTACCCATTCGCCTCGTATACCGTAACCCGACATATTAGCCGAAACGAAATTTCTAACCTATAAGCAACATCTAACATTTAACTCCAGCTACGACCACTATGCCCCAATATCGAACTGGAACCGATGGAGCATATAATCCAAGGGAATTACTCAGCAGCCAAAACACAAATAGATCGTAGATTACTCGATATAGCTCTCTTCGAAAATTCTAATTTTATGGCCGGGCCGGGCGGTGCATGCGCGCCTGGTCCGCGACGAATAAGACGACACGTCCAACGGAACGGGGATCACAGGGGCCACAATAACCATGCTCGAACTTATTGATATTTTCTGGCGAGTCGAAAGCGCGACGGGAGCGAGACGGGCGTGCCTGCGGGGCTAGCGGAGCGGAAAAGTGCGCGGAGGACGCAGAGAGGGACAAGAGGGTGCGCCGGAGCCCTCGTCACGCCCGCATGCCCAACGTGCAGTCTCCGGGTGTTCAGCTGATCGCGAGTTCTGTGATTCCCGACGTCGTAACGAGCATAGTGCGCTGCGTTCGCAGCACATGCCGTGAAGGATCATCCCCTGGGACCTGACCCGAGGAACCTGACCAAGTTAGACCACCCCAATTGTGTCCGTGGTAACCCCGTTCGCGATGTCACGGTGATAGCCGGGTGTACAGCTTTGGAGAACCTTTTCCTCCACCCATCCCCACTTGGTCGCCCCTTTTTCATCCGATCTCGTGTCAATAAAGCGCGGAAGGAGTCCGGAAGGAAGAGATAGGACAGTGGCCAGCCTTGCGGCGTGTAACCACACGTTTCATGCACCTCTGATCCACCTGATGTCGGTGATCGTCGGTAGGGTGGACTGAGGCACCAGGACTAGCCGCTCCTCATTGCAGGCCAGTTAGGAGTAGCACTGTTGGCCACGCTCCATACTTAGGACAGGCTTGTTTAGGATGGCCAACGAAAGGACACAGAGACCTTACAGGTGCGTGACAGCTTGGTCGCTTTAAGGCTTTCCCTGCGGGACCATTGGCCTGGTCGAGTGACCGTCGTGCAGCCGGCTGCTCTGAAGCCGCTTTGCTTCGCCTGGAAGCATCTGAAGAGTCTGCTGCACGACTAATCGAGGGTCTCACGATTCTCGAAGGCTGAATGTCTGTCAAATGAACTGTCAGGATGGTATATATGATTGTTACATTCTAATTTTTGTAAATCTTGGCACACTCCCGGGCTAGTTGCTGTCATGGGGTTAGATGTGCCTTGCATGATGATTCTCAGCGAATGAGTCAACGCTATAGCCCGTGGTTATCGGGTGACGTAATTCATGGTCGAATTGGCCTGATTGTGTCTGACTTATTGATTCTTATTAAGTATTGTTGCCAAAACAAGTCGTTTATAGGGCAATCGATCTGCGCTTTGCGCACTATTCTCGTGTCTTTAAGCCGGTTCTTTGCTCTGTCTGCATTTCGGTTGTTTGTTGTTGGGATTGAGCACGATCCTGGCTCGGGTTTTTGAGTTTACAGCGGTTAATCGGAGATATCGATGCTTGTTGTTGAAATGTATGGTGGTCACGGTGGGACCGTGGTAGTAAAGCATTGTTCCCTTTCAAGAACATCGTTGCCAGTCCCGGGTAATTCGGAAGTGAATCTCTGCTCGGTGCTGTCACTGGGCAAGGATCTCAGCAAGATCACCATGCCGGTTATTTTCAACGAACCACTTTCCTTCCTGCAACGGGTAGCGGAGTTCATGGAGTACGCGAAGCTGTTAAAGAAAGCGGCTCAAGAGGAGTCTCCCAGTAGAAGGTTACAGGTGAATGAAATTTCCATGAAAATATATCTCTCTGTCACGGGATCTGCGAATGATACGTACGTCGTTGGTATTGCAGTACGTCGCCACTTTCGCTGTCAGTGGTCTTGCCTCCAACTGGGAAAGATACGGCAAACCCTTCAACCCTTTACTAGGGGAGACTTACGAGTTGGTGCGCGAAGATTTCCGGTAAGCTGATGAATTTTTCTATATTTAACATATTCGACGTGACATATTTTTACTTGAAATCAAAAATTGATACATGAATAAAGAAAATGTTTTATTTTACAATCAAAAGGTAAAATTCTTTCATGTATACGGTGACTATTCGTTCTCGAGACTTGGGATTTCGAAAGTGAATTTTTAGTTTCGATGTGTATCGTTGTTTTTTAATTATTGTTATTTAGGAACGAATAATTTTGCGGTGACTATAATTACCACAAGAATAGCTTAACCCTTTCGTTATGGCACAGTCCCACCCGTAGAACGAAGTTTCCACTATGCCAACGGTGGAAACTTGGGAAAATTCGGGATCAAGTTTTTGGAAAAATAAGGAAAAAAATAAACCGATCATTGCAATAATGTTTGCAATTCTTTGCGAACAGACCTAAGCGAAATGGGAGCACTTGTCACAATTTCTGGCTCAATTTTTATGACTATGCTCACCCGTCGTGCATAGGTAGCGTCTCGCGGCCGATGAATGTAGACATATGTAGTAGCAAAATGGTTAAAGCTTTGACTATAGCACTAAAATCGATTTCTATGATAAGAATATGTTGAGAAGATGAGAATACCTATCTTGCTAGTGGTAACATTGCACTTGTCACAATTTCTGGCTCAATTTTTATGACTATGCCCACCCGTCGTGCATAGGTAGCGTCTCGCGGCCGATGAATGTAGACATATGTAGTAGCAAAATGGTTAAAGCTTTGACTATAGCACCAAAATCGATTTCTATGATAGGAATATGTTGAGAAGATGAGAATACCTATCTTGCTAGTGGTAACATTGCACTTGTCACAATTTCTGACTCAATTTTTATGACTATGCCCACCCGTCGTGCATAGGTAGCGTCTCGCGGCCGATGAATATAGTCATCCGTAGTAGCAAAATGGTTAAAGCTTTGATTATCTTACTGAAATCGATTTGTATGATAGGAATATCTAGTGAAGATGAGAATACCTATCTTTGCTAGTGGTAACGTTGCAACTGTGATTTTAGAATAGTCTGTGAGCAAGTGTCCCATCATCCACCAGTGTCTGCGTTCCACGCAGACGGCGAGGACTTCGTGTTCCATGGCACCATTCGGCCAAAGATGAAGTTCTGGGGCACGTACATAGAGATCCACCCGATAGGCTCTGTCACCGTCAAACTTCCCAAGTAAGTGTGAAACGCCTAACTCGTGTCTCCCAAGACGGGAGTCCCGGTGTAGAACAGAGCCAGGTCAAGGGGCGAGAGAAACATTGACCCTCTTGCCACTGTGCAACTGCAGACTGTACTGTGCATGTGCCTACTCTTAACATAAATATAAACAGGGTACTCGAGTTATTTTCTACTCGAGTGATACGAAGTTAACGAAATCGCTAATTAAATTAACTACAGGTCCTATCTCTAGCTTCTAAATAGAGCTCGATGACGAGAGAATTATCGAGCCTCTATTCCGTGTTGTCGTAAATCAGGCAAATTGCAGATTGAACGAAATTAACGATAGGAATGGTAATTAATACTAAATGTTGACAGGAGACTATAATTACCTTTGGTATAAGCGAGCGCTTAGCAATTCAGCGACGGCCATCACCTTTGATATATAGCATGCGTTTGATATTGGCTGACCTATAGGACACTTCTGGCATAAAATGGGAAACTGGCGAATTAATTAAATTGTAAATTGAACGAGGCAGACAATTGAATTATCAACGTCGTTAATTAATACGAAATTTCGGTGACTGGTTATAGTCACGTTTAATAAATAGAGAGTGTCCAAAAAAAACGTATACACACTTTAACACCTCATTCTTGCTAATTTATATTAATTTAATACAATATAAATATAATTTATTTATAATCACGCAAAGTGTGTATACATTTTTTTTGGACACCCTGTATGAAACAAGCATCGAGGAGCAAGTGACTGTACTTGCATTTGCTAGACATCGAGATCCTTGTGAATCGAGGAAATTGCAAATTGAATATAATCGATATGAAATTTTTAGACGATTATAATTGCACTTATAGTTAACACAAAATGGCAGCTTAATAAATCGATGTGGAATTTTTGCGAGTGACTATAGTCTCCATTAATATGAAGCAAGTATAGACATTAAATAACTGTACTCGTCCCTGGTCCATCGCGAATAAGGACTATACTTATACTATTATAGTCCTTATACTGTTTGATTAATATAACTTAGATCATCTTAGAATAGGTTGATACAATGGCTGTAGTACTGGGTTGATGGCTGTACTCAGTACTGCATTGTCAATTGTTAATACCTCCAGCTATAATTGATTAAACTTTTGATCATTCTAGAATTGCAATAGAATTTAAATCATCAGTGAATAGATTAAACCAACTGCTAATTTAATAAATAAAAGATGTCATTTCATTCTAAAATATATATTTATCACGAGCTAGATGAGACTGGGAGTGAAGTATGAGCTAAAAGCCTAAACTGACAACTGACCTATGATCACGCAACTGATCGACACTCTCACGTCAACTCTCGCTAACAACTCCATAAAAGACTGTGTCTCGAGACATCAGTCCTTAGCACCCTCGTATAGCCGACGCAGCGAGCCGACACCGGGTCAATTTTGACCCATATCTAAATTTTTACTATACTTGCTTTGCACCAAGCTTTTTGATGCAGGATATTATTGTAGGAATGTTGGGTAGGCAACAGAATAAGCAGTGATGTAAATATAAAAACGACTTATTCTAAGCGTTAATAACTCTCGGCTGACTCTCACTTGCTATCTCTCAAAGAACTCTATGACTGACTCTGAAGCACACTATGACGGGTGGTCGGCCGGGGTTCGGCCGTCGGCGGCGGCTCTGTTACAGTACTTATTCCTTTCTTACATTATTCTAATATTATTTATTGTCGGGGTCCCCTCTCCATGGGATTGTGCTCTTTCTGGTGGTTGTCCTGAGGTTCTTACCAAGTGCTGACAAGTTGGTATTCCTCCTCTTGGCCGTCGTGCTATGATAGGTAGCAGGTACAAGGACACGAGGAAGGGTTTCGCGCCCTGGGACCTGTTTTTAACACGTTAAGTCCCACGTTGGGTCCCCGGGGACCGGCGCTAGACTTTCCTCCGTTCGGACCCAGCCTGGCCTCAGGGACTAACACAGACTGGGACCAAAGGGTGCTAACTTTTGGTGTCAAATTCTTCGCCATCTTTGGACCTAACACGTTTGGGAATTCCTGTTATAACAATTGGTACAATATCTCCGAGTTTTATGAACACTTCCGCCCACTTGACGGCCGAATCTGGGCCTGAAACGTGTTAAACTAGTGGGTTCGTCAGTAAGACTTCCTAGCAGGCCTTGTCTTAGACGTGGGATAGTTAGGTAGCATAGAAAACTCGTATTTATGAAGTTTGAGGATTTACCAAGGACTTGCGAGAAACCTCGAACCTCCGTTTTCCATCTAGCGGCGAAAGTGTGAACTTTGGTCGCTACATTTACAATATATGGAGAGTAGTTTATTTAAAAAATGTAAAATTTTGTAAATATGTTATTTATTTATGTGCACTGGGTACATGCAACGTTATTACGTGTTATTGCATGTTCTTTTATATATAAATCGTGAACATTTGGCACATTTCATGCTATATTGTGAGAAGAATCTCTATTTTGATGAGTCACCCTGCATCGACAGTCACATCGGTGCGTCCAGTCTATTAGATCTGCTCGTAGGTTATGATCTTGTCCATAGTCCATCTTTGAGTGAATTATAATCCTTAATCCGCAAGAAGGACGGTAAGGCCTAACCTTCGTTATTGCCGTCACAAAGGTCATCATGATTGACCAATAGCGATCACTTCCTGTGATCATGTGCCAGTGAAGTTAATCAGCCGTGAGGATGTAAACACGCTGTGTTTTCTTTTCTCGAACGCACTATGTCACCCTAAATATTCGATCTGAACTCGAGACTGTTTTATTATCCATCATCCATCGTTATTTTATTATGCATCATTCATTATCCATCATCAGCCAGGTAGGCCCAAGTGTTTCCTTGCGCTCACTCTTAAACCGTAACTTCCTACGTAATCATACTCGATACGAAACAGACTTGTGACATTGACTGTACCTCAGAGATTCAGCCTGTCATACAAAATCGGCCTCTGATAGAAAATCGGACCGCGATACTGAACAACTGCCGAATAACCTGTGACACGAAATGGGCTAAACGTACAATTGGTACAATACAGATGGAAGGAAGCATACACTTGGGAGAACATCGACTGTATACTGCACAACGTGCTGATGGGCCAGCTGTGGATGGAGCATCTAGGGTCCCTAGAGATCAAACAGATCGGCGGAGCTAACCTAAAGGCGAGTCTGTCGTTCAAAAGCACCTGCTATACCGGGAAGGACCTGCACCGTGTCGAGGGCTTCATAACGGATCGAGAGTAAGCTGGTAACAGTTTATCATCAGTTGAATCCTCGAACGTGAGAATGGTCGTTGTTGCACGACCTGAACCGCGTGCAGAGGCGTTGTAGACTCGAGACTGACAGCTTCTGACGGGTAAACAGCGGCTTGTGAGCACGATTTCTGTACAGGAAGAGGAAGCTCGTGTTCCTTTATGGAAAATGGACGGAGAGGTTAAAGGCGTGCGAGCCCACGTTGTACGAGGAAGCCTTGGAGAGAGTGAAGCGCGAGGCAAAGAGTCCTCAAGGCAGTCCTGGCCACAAGAAGGTCCTCGCCAAGTTGCACAGCCTCAAGGTCGGAGCCTTCAAACCGTCTCACCAGGTATTTCCAATAATAATTATGTCATCCTTTTTGGACTAAATGGCACTTCGTTTCAACGAAGTAAGGGCTTTATTAAGCCTAATCCTTTCATTTCCATTTTACTTGTCTTGCGTCCCGGACACTGCAACTCTCAGGGTTGTAAGGCCCATTTACGCGGTTGGTACATGTTACTGGGATGTAACCCACTCTAAATTAATAGAGCTAGACTTGGTTAGGGTTGAGCTAACGAATTCCGACATGCGACTCTCTCTCTGGTGCCTAGTTCGTAGGTCTGACTTGACTGCTTTAGACTCAGGTAGAATTCATTGATCAGGATGCTTGCTTTTCTTTTTGGGATTTTTTGGAGAAAAACACGACTCCTGTCTCGATGGTTTTATAAGTTCGTATGTCTACTGATTGGTTGCTTCGAAATATAAGTGGATGTGTGCTATTGGCTGCGAGTAGGTCTCACCTGGTCGTGAATAGGTGAACTTGTCTAATCTTTTTCATTGCTCTGAATTTCATTTGATCTTATCTCCAAACTGTTTGAAATTTTCGTTAGAATTTCTATATTTTTCTGAAATTTTTGTTTAACTTTTCTTAACGACGATCTTAATTTCTAATCGATTATTCTGATATTTGTAGTATTTAATTAATATTCTAGACCTTTCAATTTTTGACTAATTCCTCTCTTCACGTTTCTTATTTTTAATTTGTATGTAAAATTGAAATTTTAAGCTTCTTTTTATTACAGAAGAAAAGAATTTCGAAATTATGTGTAGAAATTTAGTTTGGAACACGTGGTGGAAAGTTTGTTAGGGTTTGAGGGATATTTATAAAAGTTTGGACAATTAGGATGAAAAAATAGAGTTTATGCGATAAAGTACTTCATACTTCCATAATTAGAATTTCATCGGTTTCACTCTGTTATAAATTCGCGGTAGAAATTCTGCTTCCCATTCATCTTTCTCCACTCTTGACTTTCAGATGGTCGTGTTAAAAGCGTGATATATATAGAACTTTGTATGTTACCCCTGTACGTACCTTCATTCATTAAAGCTTTGCATATTCAACAACCTCGACAACTTCCTTTCGCATAAAGATCTCACTGTGAAAGGATTAGCAAATGTTTTACGTAATTTATGAGCAATCGTTGCATCATGTCTCTCTCTTCAGGGATGAAAAGTTTTAATAAAATTACTTGCGGTAAAATTACTCCAAGCCATTCAAAATTTTATCTTGAAAAAGAAAAGATGGAAAAATTATTTAATAAAATTACACGTTTCTAAATATTTTTATCTTCATTTTCTTCGACTATTAAAGATTTCGTTGTATCAATTATAGACGATTACGTGAAACTCTTTTTAAAAATGGAAAATTTTACTAAAATTAATAGGTAATAAAAATAATCTAATTGGTTCTAAATTTTATTTACAAAATATTTCAGTTCATAATTTTCGAAATTTTATTTACAAAATATTTCGGTTCATAATTTTCGAAATTTTATTTACAAAATATTTCAGTTCATAATTTTCTCGAATTATTGGAAATTACATAATTGTTCTCTTCTTCAAAATAGAAAAATCTATTTAAATTGTTGCTAAAAAATATTCTAACCTGTTTGATATTTTGTTGTAGGTAAATCTTTTCCAATCTTGTAAGGATACAGTTGACGATCCATCGACTAGCATAGATGCAGATGACACTCCAACGGTCGACGACATTCCTAGATCGATTACTCTTTGGGAAGCTACACCAAGGCCGACTAATAGTTCAATGGTAAAGGAAGACTTTTTTCTATCACATTTAATAATTTTCATATGTGATTACTTCCATAGATATGATAAATTGATAAATCCTAACCAAAGAACGAAATCTCACTGTTTTATCGACCGTGGTCAGTATTTAATATTTCCTTGATTTTGATATTTACTTTCTACAAGATAAATTCAATTATATTATTCTAACGTTAAAAAAGGAAAAGAAAAAATTAGTTCATTATATTTAATATAAGATACGTAGTATTGCATAATTACGTTAATTAAAATATCTGTATATATTGAATAAATTAATATGTAACGTTTATTTGATCGGTTTCCAGTATTATGACTTCACAACGTTTGCAATGTCGTTAAATGAACTGACACCGGAAATGGAGAAAACGATATGTCCGACAGATTCGAGATTTAGGCCGGATATTAGGAAATTGGAGAATGGCGACCAAGATGGAGCTGCGAGTGAAAAGTCGAGACTGGAGGAAAAGCAACGAGAATCGCGTAAAGCTAGGAAACATAAGAAAGATGACGAATGGACACCGAGGTAAGGAATGACTAATAATTAAACAGTCATCGAAATAATAAACGAAAAAAACTAATTCATCGCCAGAAACTTCTTTATTCGATCGCTATCAACATACTTTTACAGTGAAAAGTTTTTTAAACTAGAGAAAACTTTTATTTAAAAAAAAATGATTATAAATATCTGTGAATTTATTTATACAGTAGCCTGATTTATTTTTCCACATTTATGCGCTAGTGGAGTACAAAGGGTTGATAATATAAAGACATTAATTTTAATAAATAGTGAAATTTAGTGCATAATTAATAATTAGCCTGTATCACATTATTTTACAAAAATAATTAAATCAGTTATCAAAATGTTAAAATTAACCTCAAAATTTGCCTTCCGAGAATTTAAAGTATCATTTTCCAATATTTAAAAATTACTGAAATACTTAATAAGCCCAATTACGCAACAATACTCCCTATTTGCATAATATACGTATATCTCGCAACACTTATCTTTTGAATAAAATAGGTTTCGCGACATTTCACTCCATGAACATATATTCACAGTCTTCCTATTTTAAACTACCGGTAATATCGATTATCTGATATGCAAACCTTTTATGTGCCACAGGTGGTTCCGATTAGATACGAACTGGTATACGGAACAAACGGACTGGTTATACAAAGGTGGCTATTGGGATCGTAACTATTCCAACACGGAAGATATATTTTAATGAAAGTCTAGGTCCCAATCCGAGCGGAATAATTAACAAACAAGAAAATAAAACTGCGCTCGCATAACCTAACAGGGAGTGTTCATACGAATTGACAGTATACCGGCATGAAGAATCAAGCGGGTTGCCCTTTAACGTCGATCCGAGGTCGATTCGTTATTTGCGAAACGACTTCAAAAAATCCGTCTCGTCGGTGTCGCTATCGTATCTGAGAACACTAAAGGAGCAATCATGCGGAAGATGAAACATAACACGCGAGCACATCTGTAGAAACGTCCTTTTCAGACCCGTTGAGAACACACCTTTTAGCAGAACAAAGCGAATAAAGAGAAAAGAGAGGTCACCCTTCTGACGTACAAGTACCATTGTATTCCACTGAGACGATGTCAGCTGTACGATCGATCGGCGAAATGGGAACTGCTCGAGACTTCAGAACAAATAGAGCGAAACTACAACTCACTGCTTTACACGATACAAACATCACGATAATCACAATATATATTCTGTACACGCATTTTTTCGAATCACACTCATTCACGGGTTCGTTTGAAAACACGAGGAATTACCGAATCTCTAAAATCCGATTCGTTCTCGGGAAAGCGAATCTAACGAGCTAGCTTTACGCCTCGTAGTGAAACTCCGTATGCAGGTCGTACGCGCGTAGTGATTTTTAGATAATTGAACACGTGCTATCTATAGAGGGGCGCGCCTCTGCAAGAAAGTTAGGTTACGGAAGCAGCTACTGCTGGTCACTGCAGTGTCACTCCTGTCGGTAATAGTGGTACCACGCTTATCAACAAAACATCGTGCAATTGTATTTTCGTACGTCCATGAATAAACGTCTAGAAATGACTCGTTTCTGCGTCCATAGCAAAGCGAGAGTATAAAGGCTGTTATGACACGTCGCGTGGGCTGTTGGGTGGTTCGCGTGGCGCGAGGATTAGAGCACGAAGTCCATTCGTTATTAATCGTCGTTTGCTGTACATACCGTGGTGAACGACCGTCGTAAACTTTTTATAACACAGAGTGACATGCCTGGAAAGGCGAAGTATATACACACACGCATACATAATACGTAAACACCACTTCTATGGAATCTCTTTTCACAAGAGCATCGAAGAGGGAGTAACAGTCGTCTTTCTTACGCAAGTTCGTTTTTACTAACGGGTAGCCACGAGATCACTTCTGACACTATATTTATAACAAAGACGAAGGGAATTGAGGATGAAGGAACTCTTTCCCTATACGTTAGTATGACTAGTAGGTTTCTGTACATACAGCGGCTGTACTATACACTTGTATCTATATATTAACAATTTAGAGGGATTTTATGCACGTGGAGGAGAATTCAGCGGTTGCTCGGCCAAGTTAGCTCAAATAGTTAGCTCGAGTTTCCGAGCTTCGCAACTACGCATCGAACGAGCAATAAATTAATAGTAACGGTTGATGTCTTTCGTAACATCATTTATTATTAATCATAGCTTTCGTTAGACTGTCTGACTCCGTTCAGAAGCGATTTTCGTTCGATAGTAACAGCCGTCCATACACATAAGGATTTCTCCGAGACTTCGCGTTTCAGGTTACAGAGTCAACTGTGTGCGTTCACGGAGCATGCCTGTGGCGCATTATGTGCGTGATACGCAATTCTATTGGTGGATTGGAAACACGCGACGAAGCAGGGACGACTGTAGAATAATTCAGTTTTTATCTGCAGCGAGAAACAAAACGACAAAATTTGGCAAAGTTTGGCAAAATTTTCATGAAAGTTCAGACAGTTTTTAGCAATGATCCGTGGATAAGTATGAGTTCTTTATCCGTTAACCCAGTCTTATCTACGACTAACGTGTGCCTATGTTTTATTAGGCTTGTTGGAAAGCTTGGAGTACTGATTGGAGCCCTATCTGAAATAATCACAAAGAGATGATTATCGAATAAGTCATAGATAACGGATATTACATATGATAGTACACACCTTTTAGCATTGTGCATCCAATGTTTACATATAGCAATGAGATTATTTTACATAGGACACTAATGTTCCTTGTACGTAACGTGAATAGAATTAATTATGGTATACAATTGTTAAAGTGTCAACGAACACTCGAAATTTTGGTCCATTGCAAACTCTGATTATAGAAATTCATCTCCAATGAATAAAAGCCACGGTGAAACCTGTGTGTATGACTGGCCAATTAACGTCGACTGTAAGGCAATTTGGTTTCTCAACTAGTGTAGATAGCTTAATTCAAAGCTTAGGAATAATATACAAAGTATTTGGAAGAGGTTGGGCAAGAATTTGGATACCTTCTATGTGACATGACAAAAAGATATGTAACTATTTAGTACTATTTATAATATCAATATTATAAATATTATAATATATTTACTATCTATTATATATCTTATATGACTATCTAGGAGAGAATTTAAAGTAACTGTTCAAAATGTCATCCATGAGAGTACTGTATACAGGAATGTTTTCACATGTCCCTAATTAGCTCTATAAGCAAAACTCTAATTCCAATGTCTATATATTCATCTTGATAAATTGTTTACAATAAAATTGGAACACATCTGAATGGTAATGAAAACAACATATATATAACTTATCAAAAACTTTTTGTAAACATGCCTTATGGCAGAATTGGCGAGAAAATAGGAAATAAAGGAACTCATAATATTAAAGATAATTCAAATATACTAACACGCTATATTATACATCTATAATGATATATTTTAAAACATGTATCTGTATGGACGTTTCATCTCGTTTCACTTAGAAGTCAAAAATTCCAAATTCTTGCTGAACCTTATCGAAACCACCTATAAATGAGGATATTTGATACTTAACGGTGCCAACGCAAAATAAACAGTATGCTAATTACTCCCTCAACATGTAACGTGTAATCCTACGTACTCACACACTTCCTACCGGTTTCATGCACTTAGAATTTAGCTAGGCTTATCGCAAACGCGTAAACGGCGGGTCGACGATTCGTTTACGCGAAACTACGTGGACATTTAGGCCAGTATAAGTTATAGTACGTTCATCGCTTCTGAGAAGCTGACACTTATCGGACTTAGAATCTGTCCATCACAAGGTCATCTAAATGTGTCGCTTTATAGGGGATCACGACGAAACATTTACAGTGATATCAATTGATAGGTGTACATGTGTATTCAAAGTATATATATTCCATGGACTGTTCAACCTAATCACCAGTTCCTTTATATTTTCGTCGTTTTCGTATCTCATCTACGATCATCCTTGCTTATGTGGGAAAGAGGTGCCAGAGGCAGTTTGTAAATATATTAGCCAGCTGCTTTATGTAGAAACTAACTATCACTGATTATATTTTATGGGGGTTAATATAAAAGCGTTTCTTTAACTGGGAGTAATTTATTTGTGTAAACTTTAGTACATGTTCGATTGGATTTTAAAATCGTTTTAGGATGTGATAGGCTATGTGTATAAAAAAACATGTGTGTGAAACGATATATAATCAGTTCTACTTTTTAATAATCCGATGTTATTAAAATTGTGTTAAAAGTGTAAAAAGATGTCGAAAGTTTGTAACAGTTCAATCAATTTTGATCCTTCGTGAACAGTAAACGATGTATAGGTAAGGGCAGACAAATTAAAGGATCTCTGGTTAATAACATGTTTGATAAAAATGTGATACTTATAATACATAATATAGAATATACAAAGCTGATTTTCAATCGAAGTCAATTGTTCAATCATTGTCGCGTAGACGCAAGAAGGAAATATGATATTGATAAACACCGATAAGATAGAGTCTCTACATCACAGCACATAGACATGAATTAATATACTCAGCAGTATTACCGCGAGACAAGAAAAGAAGAAATATATATATATATATACATATTACGCATAGATTGTATACATATAGAAATTGATCTCTACGTAACGAAGAACAACTTTATACGCTTCTGTACGTTTTTATCGAAGGTTCCGACTCATTCACCATGAACACGAGTCATCATTACACATTTAAAACAAAAATGACAATTATACTTTTTGGAAAACGCCGATAACATTTACAGGAGCTACACCATCAGGCTCAAATGCTGTTGAAGATTATTGTATTTATGTTGCATAGACAAGTGTATGTATCTGTACATAGATAAATAGATATTAGAAATAAATGTTGTAAAGAAATAATTCCACGTTTTTTCAATTACCATAATACCATAAATATAGTTTGATGTATGCCATAGTATTAGAAATATAAAGAAAAAATACGTACTTTAGTCCGTTTTAAACATTCTGTCACTCGCAATAACTATAACTTCGAGTATACGCGCATTTTCTTACCATTTTTAAGACGAGTCAATTTAGAAAATACCGCCATAAATTTAAACGTAACATTGCGCGCATGTTAGTTCCGCGATTGCTGCGCGATGGCGCCACGCGCCGACTGTTTTCAATATGGCCGCGGAGCCGTTCGTCAGAAGCGATTCGGAAGGAATCGATCTCGGTTCGGTAGCGGAGAACACGTCACAGTATCCGTTTCGAAAGTTCTCGTGGAAAAACGTGTGCATATTATTGTTCCGTTGATTATTCGCGAGTGGTGGATCCGTGTGCGAGCGAGAGGGAGCATCGACGTAAGCGCAACGATTCGACAAAATGAGCAACGTACCAACAGGTGAGATCATTGACGCCACTTTCCCAATACGCTTTTTATTTTCCTCTGTAAGAACGTATTGCGTGTTTTCGGCGTGACATGTCGCTCCTCCGGAACGTTCTGCTAATTCGAAGGAAGGTCAAAAGACAAGGATAGTTGTGAAAAGAGAACAAGTGATACGGCATTTCTAGTGAACGTATTCTAACCTATGTTGATTTTTTACACTCTCTCGTGTTTCGAAGAGCTTCTCAAACTGTTCACAGCGGACTACTTATCTCGCAAAGCGATACGCAGTTAATCACCCGTGATAGTCGAACGTTATCGTACGAAATTTCGTTCGGCAGCTGCACAAGGTACCACCCAAAGTAG